AGGTATGATTGTTTAATCCACCTGTTCCTAGTTGTGTGATCAGAACCTGGAGAGGCGTACAATTCTGATCTGACCGTCTATTTTCTCATATTTCAAATGAGGACAATATGAATTTTTCAGTTATACAAATGTTAGACTTAATGTAAATAAAATAGCCTAATATGAGTAAAATATATATATACATATATGTGAATAAAATATATGTATATGTATTAATACTTTGAATGATATCTCTTTCTGTCTTCTTCTTGTCATAAGCAAGGCTCCAGGCTCAAAAACTTTATGCTCAAGTATCAATACACAATTTACTGTGAGACAGCAAATGTGTTTATTAGTCGCAAATCACTCTCTTTCTTTCTTTGGAAAGATGAATGGAACCCCCCTCCTTAATCCTAAACGAGGCAGTTCAGAGGCTGGTTGATGTCAGGATCACAGCAATTACTATAGTTTGAGAAAATGGGGCACATATCTACAGAGTACCTGGGGGCATTGCCACTTCATGTTAGTAAAACATCTTTACTTTGAGGGTTTTAGAAATTATAAAAGATAAAGCCTTGATGGTCATTAGAACACTATATAATGTGTTTTGTGGAAGTGGTCCAATCATGAAAGGCAAGTTATTTCCATTTCATCATCATCTTTGGGGAACGTAGTTCAGACCTGTATGTTTTAATTGCTACTGTATGTATGTTTTAATTGCTACCTTAGTGCTACTAACATAGAAAAAATATATCACTAAAGTAAGTTTCTCTTAACTGTCAATTACAATGGATATATTTAACTAAAACTGAACGAGAAAAGTATTTTCAAATCTTTTGCATTGTGTTTTAGAATTGCTAGCAGTGCTATGAACCAGTTATGAGTTGGAATAATATTCTCCGTATTGACATGCAAATGAACTCACTAAGCAACTACTTTGCTTTAGAGATTTACATAATTTGATACCAAAAGCTACATTAAATTAATATTAATTACTTGGTTTTAGAGCAAGAAAGTTCAGAGTTAAGCTGCTCTTCTTCCCACATTTTATGACATCTATGCATGAAAACACTGATATACAAGGAATCAAAATATCTTAGTTATAGGGATATTCCAGCTGTATCCCTTAGAAGTGTATGGCTTATTACCCCAAAATGTATATGAAGTAAACCCGATGTATCTCTTTTAGAGATAGAAACTTTCAAATCCTTTATCAGCACTCATTTTTTTTTTTCAGAATTGATGTGGTACTATAAACTCTTCATTACGTACACATCAATTCTGCTGCTTATTTCCGGCAAATTTTCATTTCCAGTTGTCCCTTCCCTTGCCAATCACACCATGAGAGCTTATGAATGACATTTTCATGGCAAAAAATTGGTGTGTACTAAAGCGTAACAGCCTAAATAAAAATAACAACAAAAAGACACATTTGCTACTAAAAATCTATATTGCATTATAGCTTGTTAAGTGAATTTTTTTTGTATTAAGTAGCATTTCTTGAATTTGCTTGTTTAAGATCATTCCCACTGCAGGTTTGTGGTAGAGTACACCAAGAAATATATATGTACACACACACACACACACACACACACACTGTACACACAATGTACACACATACATACTCATTATATCACACACTCATATTATTATTTAATACTGTCTCTAAAAAACATATTAAAACTCCTTGGAATTCTGAATTTATCAAAAATACTCTCTCATCTGCTATACTAATATTAACTTCCTCAGTACTAAGGTGATTAAAGCACAAAGGGACCAATTGTTTTGTTGTGAATGTTGTGGTGTGGTGACCAATTTAATGGGAAAATTAGGATTTTCCACAAGGGACTCCACAGTTCACCTTAACTAGTCTAGGCCCAAAGGACAATGGAGGTGTTGAAGCAGAAGGTGATTAAGTCTGTTTGGTAAGATAATTGGTCACATGGCTGTTACAATAATGTTAACAACAAGAAGCGTTTTTTCTGGCCTATTAGTTCACATGAGGGTTTAAAACTTTATAATACATTAAGTAATAAAAATACTAGAGTTATTAGGGGGATTGGGTTTGGGGCAGAGTTGATAGAAATATATTATTGAAGGTGTTTTGGTCTCATTTATAAATGAGAATTAAACATGAAAAATTGCTATTATTCAAAGAAAATTCTCAATAAACTATAATTTGCATAATCTCTTAAGTATAATTTAAAAATTACTTTTAAAAAGTCAATCCCCTAAAACTTTTTAATACATTTCTGGTTTATTATTATTTTCTTTAATTCTCTACTGTACATGTTAGTTAATAGATTTTTAAAAAAACCAACTGTTTCATCTTTGTCTTAAATATTATCAAACTGCATAGTTATTCATCTTATCTATAAGAAAAGAAGACATCTACCCAGTAATATCATTTTTAAAGTTTTGAGAAGCTCACTGTGTTTTAAGAAACCAAGATGCAATTAAGAAAGACAACTTGAGGTTGTCATGTGACATATGATTATATTAGTTCAGTTCAATTTTTCTATACATTTGGTAAAACTTCATCATCTTGGAGTAAAAACTGCTGCATGTACTTAACAGAACCTATGCAATGAAATGAATTCATGCTTTAGCAGGCTATCTATAGTGCCATTGAATATTCCTTCGAATTTCACATGGACAAGTTGTAACTCCAAAATATGGTCATTTTTTGGTGTAGCAAAAAATTTATGAAGAGTCACCACATTTAAATATCTTTAATAGGTGTTTTCAAAGTTGGCAATTTTATTTGTTTACAGTAAGTTGTATTCTGTATCCAAACAGCATCCCTTATGTGCTAAGTTTGGGCTTATCATGGTCATCTAATTATCTAATTTTACCTTACCTCAGAACTAAGATATAAAAGCTAATAATGTAAAAAAAATCATGAAAAATGTTTCTAATATTTTAAATGTTAAATCTCATTGAAACTGCTTTACTAGTTTCATGATTGACAATAGCATACTTTGATTTTAGTGCTTAACCATCTCACTGTGACAACACTAAACTTCATCTGAAAGAATTCCTGATACTGGTAGATCAGGGGAACTGTTTATACTCAAACGAAGACACACATCTTAAAAAACTTTATGCAAAAAGAAATCAATGAGATACTGAAATACATTTAGGTGAGCATAGCGTTTATTTCTGTTCTTGCCTTTCCAGTAGGTTATAAAATTAAAAATATATTTGATATTTCAGTAAAGAAAAGAAAACTGAAATTAAAAGAAGCCATTTGAAATTCCATAGTCAGAGTGCTTATACTCACATAGTTTTAAAAAGAAAATTTAAAAATGTATTGAAGAAAATAATTATTCTAAATTAATTTAAAGGAGGATGTTTGGTAGGAGTTTCATGGCCCAGTGTTTCATATATCCTCCTTTGCTCTCTACCTGTTCAGTGTTTAAAAATTTTGTATCAATATTTAATGTAAGATCACATGACTGACAGGAATCCTACAAAGAACAATCTGCTCAGGGTAAAACATGAGAACACTTAAGGGGATTTACATTTAGCCTGTAGTGTTTGCAATAATATCCATTTCTTGTAACAATCACTCTCATGTAGGACTGTGCTGTAAATAAAATGAAAAATCTCTGTGCAGAGGAACTATTTTAAGTCATAAACTTTAAAGCTAAAGTTCATATTTGGTAAGTGTAATGCAACTAGAGCAGAAATTTTTATGATAATTTTAAATAGCCAAATATATAAACTTAAATTAGCATACTCTTGAGTAGCTGAAAAACATAGCCCTAGTCAGTTGAATGATACTTATTAAGTCTGAAACAGCTTATATTTTACACGTTCCTATTAAGATAGGATGTCTAGTTGCAACCTGAACTCTCTCCCTGGAAGGTAAACCTCTCCTCTATATTTTTCCAGCCATCATTTATTCTTAATCTAATGTCACTAAATGACATAAACGAAAATTAATAATTCTATTTTGCAGACAAACATCATGCCTGTCAAATAAAGTAATGAATAGTAATAAGAAATACACAGCACAGTTAACTTCCATCATTTAATAATTGTTCATTATGAGAAGTACTGTTCAGTGGTTTTCTGTACTGAATTCTTTCTTCATACACACTCAAAACACATTGCCAATTGACAAAAGGAACATAGCTTTAAAAGAAAATCTCCTAAGTAGAGAAAAGCTCTCTGTTAAACATGCAAGAGGTTAAACATTGCTGAAATAGCGAGACATTTTCTCAGCCCACGCTTCCCAGTTCCATTCAATTACCAACAGCAGTAGCGGCTATAATACAAGCTAATACTGTATTATTAAATCAGAGCTTCCCATTTACATCCACCTCTAACCTGAGGGGGTGGGGAGGGGAAGACATTTACTAGTCAATAGCAGAATAAACAGCCCCCAACTTGGAAATACACATGACCTTGGGGTGTAGAATTCTCAGAGAATGAGTTTCACAAGTTTTATTTGGATCTACTGCATAATAATGCATCTAATGCACCCAACATGGTATAAATGCTCTTATCCCTCCCACCTCCCCTCCAAAAATGTTAAGAAAGCTCTGTACTTTGCAGTCTATGCCACAGATCTCAGAAGTAATCTTGATTAATCAGAGATTAATCCACTCAAATATTTTTTAAGATTACATTTGTTTTAAACAACTTGTTGGTTGATTTATTTAATGTAATTTACTAACATATTTGGGGCTTGCATTGAATGTTTCTTGTTTCTCGAGCCATGCTGGAAGTGTTGCTCTACAAATTTGTATTTATAAACCAGGATGTAACCTGATGACATTAACTTCACACACACACACACACACACCCTCAACTTCCCCTCTAGGATTCAGTGCTTAATCACCAACTGATGTTCTTGTAATAAAAATAGTAGTAGTAATTATTAAAATAATTATTGCAATCATTGCCAAAAGTCCCGTTTCAAATTATAAAAATCACAACTTGCTTTTTAAATTTTTGTATAGTACTCTGCATTCTCCCCCATTTGTAATAATTTATAATATTCTTTTTCTTACCTTATTTTAAGAGTCAGAAAAGTCTCCCAGAAAGATTCCTAAACGGTGTGGATATATAAATCACAATAATAACAATAGTTTAAAAAAAACCTAAAAGATCATTTCAGCTGGGAAAAGAGGAAAATAGTTTGGTCTAAAACTATAGAAATCTCCAAAGTCACGCTTGAACGGGAGCCTAGGTGGCAAACAGAGGACTCTCTCCCACGTCGGATACCACACTCCTTTGTCAAGTTGATATGGTCCTGCTGGTGAAGCGGGTCCCGCAGGGCACAGAGAGTGCAAGAGGGCGTTGCCTCAAGGTGCTAGAGCAAGCCGTCCGCTCGCGTCCAGGTTCAGCACCGACAGCGCAGTGGACAGCACCAGCTCCTCTCACCTCCAGTTTGTCTCAGTCACTGAACCAGGCTGATTCTCGCGCCTCCTCCCACAGCAAAAGCTGCTGCCACTCAACCCGGGCGTGCCCCGCCCCCATCATCTGACGTAACTATTTTGCATACCAACTCCCAGAGAGGTGCGGGGCCGCCCCTTTGACTGGGCTTACTGCTAGGGTCAGCTGAGGCAATCGAGACGACAAAATCCAGGTTATTGACCAACGTTGGTTTCATTGGACTTCATGATCGGTCCTGAATAAACTAAATGCTTTTGGCGTGGCCTGAGCTTTTCCCTTCGCTGGGACTGCCGTTTCTGTGCGCTCTAAAGATCGCTGCTGGCACAGCTCTGGCAGAAAACAGGGGCGGAGGATGGGGGCAAAGGAGCACTCAGAGGAGAGGCTGGGGAGGCGGGAGGAGAAGGGATTTGGGATTGGAATGAATCCATCCAACTACTCCAAAAAAAAATCCCCGCTCTTTTTGATCTCCCTGGCTAAACTTTCCTCCTGCTCCCTACCATTTGTTTACTGGAAAGGATGGGTTTGGTGTTCCGTTCCCTTTCCTCGGTTCACGGAGCTGCTAGAGGGAGTCGCTGCAGCAGAAACTTGTCCTGGAGGGGAAAAAAAAAAAAATGCTCTGAGCACTGGAAAAAAATGTGAAAACTGGCTATACTTATCATCATTCGTAAACATTTTTTTTCTTATTTTTTATGTGAATGCTGTATAGTATATATCAAGTATTCACATGTTCTTATAAAATCTGTGGAAGCTTCCCTCTTCATTCTTATGATTTAAATACATCATCAAGCTATGTGAAGTTGGAGATTCCAGGGTTAAAAAAAAATCACTTAATAATGAAAAAAGTGAAAGTTCTCAGCTTCAACTTCCACTGCCAAAATCCTGAAGGTTATGTAATATTTATTATGTCTAATATATCAGTTGTTCTATGAAAGATGGGGTATGCTGGAAGCACTTCATAGCCTTTAGCAATCCTCTCAGTGTATGTGATGTTTCTTGTTCCTTTGAGGCTCTAAGGGCCTTGACAGCAAGAGAAAGGGGGGTTGCCATGCCAGATTCCTGACTGCTTAAACTTGTAAACAAACACTTTTAGTGAACTGAAGCAATCAGTCATCTAGAAAGGTCATTATTCACATCCTGTCCACATGTCTCACCTACAGCCATCAGGACTTACTTGTACAAAGAAATAGACAAATAAAATCAAGCCCAAATTTTTTTAAGTTGGATAAAAAAATATTTTCATAAACAAAGTTATTTATTCAAGAAATATCATAGCACTCAATACATTGTTTTCCATCAAAATATATACCCTGATATTCCCAGAGTCTGATATAATTCTGCACTGTATCCACCCATGAGTGTTTTCAGGGACTTTGATGAAATTAGTACAGTTGTTTATTTTCCTATCAAGAAACATAATTAATAAAATTGATTTTCTGCAGTATTTAAGAAATTATTTGAGGAAGAATATTTATTGTGTGGGTATATTTACCCAAATCCTTTCCTGAAAGTTAGTTAGCTAAGTTGAGAAAAAAAACACGATAGTTTTACTTCTGAGGGAACATCTTTTTTCTCCTTTGCATCCACATAAACTTTCCTTTCCAGCTTTATTAAAGCATTTGTCAGTTCCTTTCCTAAATATTCAGTTCCCTGGGAGTATCCCCCAACATATCTAGGCAGTAATGGCTGCATTCCAGGTAATCTGCAATATTTTATTTTCCTCTGACTGCTATTGATTTTATATAAATATATAAATGACTAGTGCAATGCCTTTTTGCACTGCTCTTTGCACACACACACACACACACACACACACACACATCCCAAAAGCACTTCAGTTCCCAAAGTGATTTTATAAAGGTGTCAGACACCAATGTAGGGCATAAAAGATGATTTTTAGGGGTAGAAGGGCATTCTACAATTATAATTACAATGAATATTCTGTACTTAGGCTGATCAAAGCACACATGTCATGCTTCTTTTAGAAATGTCACATGGCATATTTTGGTCTGCTTCATGCCAGCATGCCAAAATGGCAAGAAGACTTAAAAGTTCACTGTGAAAATATATAGTGTGCATTATAAAAATTCTTATAAAATTTCACCAAAGCCCGTGTCATATGCTGTTTAATAGACACTATTTTTTAGTTCACTTCAGTAATCTATTGTTTGGGGCTATGAATTAAATTAAGGCAAGCATAATATTATTCAAAAGCCTAGGGGGATAAAACAGGAAACAAATATGTTTCAAATATTAAAAAAAAAAAAAAAAAAAAAAAGAAACATTTTTTTTAAGTGTGTGGGGGGGGGGGGAGAAAAAAAAAGGAAAAAAAAAAAAAAAGAAAAGAAATAGAACTAGGAGGACTGAATCTTCCTAAGAGATTCTAGGTTTTGTTCTGTCATAAATTAGCTGTTTGACCAAGATCTAGTTATTTAAACTGCTACATCATACTCATCATTTGTAAAATTTGAGGATTTTATTGTACTAAATTATCTCTAAAGTTCCTTACATATCTGTCATCCTGTGATTCTACAGTAGAATTTTAAAACTTCATAAATTTCTATACTATAGTGATACTGTGATAGAATTCAAGATCTCAAGAACCTTCCCCTTAGGTAGGATAAATTGGCATCTGGTTACAAAGACTGTGAAAATGGTACCTTAGGGTAATTAGTTTGGGAGGTGTGCAAGGAAGATGAGTAACTAGGACAAAGGATGAGGTTAAAAGAAGTCAAAAAAATAAATTTTACCTATCCAGAATAGGTAAGAGAGGATTGGAGGAGTCTGTTAGTTACTTTTATATAAGCAATATTATAATATCCTCACATATACTCATAATTACTGTTTAGGATATTTAAATAATTATAAAGCAACAATAAAATGTAATGCATGCAAAGTCATTAGGTGGATTTTTAGTTGTAAATTGTCATGGGAAAGACGACTAAAATATTAAGTAAATATGAACAAGGAAAATATCTTAAAGCTGAATGACCAACATGTACTTAGGGATTTTAATTTAAGTAATTTACATGAACATATTAAAATGTAATACACAGAAATTATGAAGCTCATTGTGTTGTTGCCTTGTGAATGTGTATTTATACTTGTATATAAGATTTACCTTTTAATCATATTGCTTTTTGCTTCTTTATTTTTGGGCTTCTGTAGCGTCATCAAATTTTACAAGCTCCTTTTCGAATTATAATTATTCTAATGTATTTGTAGTACATCAGAAATATAAATACTCTAAAGATAATAACAGTGTATGCCTTGTTAATTTCTCTTTTTACATCAATTATGAGAAGGTTTGCTGTGAATTAAGAATATGCTTATTTTGAAAAGCCCATATTCACTACTTTATGCTAAGTAATTTTCACTCTTAATTTTGGGAGATCAAAATAAAGCAAGGCCCAGGAAAAAATATCAGAACCACAAATGACCAAGCCTTTCTTAATTAAAGAGTCATAAAATTATAACATAAGCACAAAATGTATCTATCTTAGAGATTTCAACCCTCTTGCAAGGTGAGCTTCCATATAATTGTGCTTTCCTCCTGACATATTATATGCCTATAGTGTTTTTAAAGCATGAAACCTGCACTTAAAAATTAGTCCTTAGGAAAAAATAATTCCTGAAATTTAATATATGCTCTTGGTTTTTAGCTTTTTAATAACAGTTCCAAAAACCAGATATGCAGTGTTTTGCCACATTATTTGAATATATGACACTTGAAAATATATTTTTCTTCTCTTACTTCTACTGTTTTTCTTCCTACATCCATTACTTCCTTCCCCTACTTCTTTCTAAGCTTTACATTCTTACGACCTTCTCTCTACCTATCTTTTATTTTAACATTCTATTAATAAAATGTTTATTAGTGATATGTCTGTTGTGTTCTAGGATATTTAAATACAGTATTTAAGAATGTTGGCGTGTTGATACAATGTGCTTATATCTACACATCTTAGCTAATGCAGAATTTCCATCTTAAATGAACTTTATGTGTATGTGAGGGGACGTGCACTGAAGAGGATTTTCAAATGTATTTTCTTTAAAATATGTACATAAGCTTTAAGATATAAGAACCAAAATCTCAGGGCACCTGGGTGGCTCAGTGGGTTAAGGCTCTGCCTTCAGCTCACGTCATGGTCTCAGGGTCCTGGGATGAAGCCCCTCATCGGGCTCTCTGCCTGGCGGGGAGCCTGCTTCCCTGTCTCTCTGCCTGCCTCTCTGCCTACTTGTGATCTCTGTCTGTCAAATAAATAAATAAATAAAATCTTTAAAAAAAAAGAATCAAAACCTCAATTCTAATATATAAGGTTACAGACTGAAGAACACTATTGAGTTGAACACATACACACTCACACATTTTTCTTTTTTTACCTCAGTGGTATTTGCAATCAACTATATGCTTTGATGAGATTATATTAGCTTAATTTCTAGAATTTCAGTATATGTTGCAAATTCAGATTATGTTTATTTTTTATCTCCACTATAGTTTAGGCATTGTGTTTCACATAAAAGATTATTACATTTAGGCTGAATAATATGAAAGTTAGTTCTTTTCTTATTAATATTTACTTTAACTCACGGGAAAACACACAAAAATAAGACTATTCTTATAATTTTTAATCATGACCCTACCATCAAAATGGTACATTTCACAAAGGATTGAGGTCACTTCACAGAAATACCATGCTAAAGCTTAGATATAACTCTTTATTCTATACCTCAAATTCTCACATCAATGCATATATGAACTCTTTAATTCCTATGTAAATGGAATTTTCAAATTGTACAAGAACCTTGGCAAGTGCATAATATGAACAAAAGTTGTAAGTTAAAAAAATTGGTTGATGTTAGTCTGTATTGAGGTAATATTAAAGTGAGAAA